AATAAGAAACAATTGGTGACGATATGATTATGTTAATAAATGTTTGCTTAGATGGCCAGATATATTGATGAATAGCATAATGGTGTTCATGCATTCTGGATGGACCTAAGCTCTGAATTTTTATGCGGAGAAGGGTTGGTTAAAATTTCACGGTATCCCTCTTGCGCTGAACGAGATAAGACTAAACATTTTTAGGCTCCACGGATTAAAACATTTTATACTTTATTTAGCAGTTCCGAGCATAGTAATGTCTGAGAAATCAAAAATGGGAAGAATCTTCCCAGGAGAATTAATCAAAAGAAAACTCCGCCTAGCGATAAATGAAGTCTCTCAAAGAATTAGTAAAAGATCTAGGACGATGATGTTAAGCATAATTCTGAACACAAATAACAAAAGTATTTGTATCATTCTCTTTTCATACATTAAATTCAGTTTTGAATCAGTTGTAGTGTTTGAGGAACGGCAATTTGTATTGTATAATTTGTTTTGTTATTGCCTACAGCCGAAATCGACATTTTCCTATTACAGTATTAAATTATATTCATCTTCTCTTACCTGTCTTATGAACAAACTCTTTAACAGTTCATAGAATTTTACTATTATGTGCTGCACTACACGGAAAGGGAGGGATGCCACGGAGGAAGTTTTAAGGGAAATTGGCTCGTATTCACGTTACGAATGGGGAAAACCGTGAAAATGCCCATGCAGCCAGCCTGTTCGCTGGAACTCGAATCCCGGACCGAGCAGCAAATGTTAAGCGGCTTTTACCGCTCGGCCATAGTAATTATCCCATAGGTAAGATGCAAAATTTGCAGTACTTTCTATAAGCCTTGAAATTTGTATTCTGTTTAGAAGTTAATTAATACGAAGAGAAAATATATAAGATTATTCAATGCTTTACACAAAATACCTCTCGCAAAAATGTAATTTTTGTATGATGACACGAATTATAGGTGAAATTATTACATCTACTTTAGAAAGAAGGTAAGTTTTAAAATTTAGTAATCTATTTTAAAACGCCAAACAAGTAGATCAGTTTATCCAATCTGCGGTATTAATATGACTATATATTCTGATTTACCTTTTCCGGTTATTGCTCGAAGTTTAACTGAATTCCATTTCGAGTGTACTTTCGCTGCTTAATGCAGCCATTTAACGGGCCAAAGCATACCTTTTGAAATCATCGTGATTCTCATTTACAGGAGGGGTAATTTGCTGTCGTTCCAAAGCTTCTGAGAATTCATTAAAATTTACGGCCAAGTCCTTTCTTTTTCCACTACAATGCATTTGTTCTAATTCAGTCCGTATCCTCTTCTAATTTCCAATTATTTTTCTCTTTTAATTTAAAATTTTCTTTGTATTAACTGCTGCAGTGGCAAAGTACTCCATTCTTTGCCACTGTAGTAGGCATTTTCCACTTCGGTAACATTTCAATGCTTTCTAATCCTCCCCTGCTGCTTTTGATTTACAGTGTTGCAGTTCTACCAATTATTAAGAGGAAACGTTTAGAAAGAATTCCTATGAAAATTATGTTACATTTACCAGCGCATTTGCTACATTTCTAGTAGGCAAATTAGTAGCATAAGTTTTCTAAGATTCTTATTTATATCTGAAATATGATGTAACTTTGAATATTAAAGTTAGAGATTACATTTAAATCTGTTTGAAATCAATTTTGAGAGTAGTCTAGTTTTATCCCTTCTTCTTTCAGATCAATTCTATTTGTTCGAAAATATAGGTTAAGAAAATTATCTGTATTATAGTTTTAAAAAGGCTACATTAAAAGATGGATGTTAATTTTAAAAAATGATTTCTATAATAATTTAAAAAGGGGAACTCGTATTTTTTTGGGTGGTGGCAAGGGGATATAAGCAAATTTACACCAATACCCAAAAGTGTTTATTTTATCCTGCTTTCTCAAACATCGCCTTGAAAATCGTGTAGATAAGTTGAAAGTATAACAAGCGACTGATAATTTTACTTGATTTCATTCGTGATCTTTTCAATCTGCAAAAATAATTCTGATGGAATGGCTGAAATCTGAACGGTCAATGAGTCTGAAAGGGCTGAGATTCATGAGTCATCATTTGAATAAGATAATAAAACCATTGAAAATGCATAATTATTTAAAATTGATTTTTTGCTGTTGTACACCATTTGAGTAGCCTCATGTTCAGTAAATGGATGAGTTTGTCTTATAATCAAGAGCATCATGATATTACATAAAGAATTAGGAATACTTCCTTAAATAATAAAAACGGCTATATCATGATTCTTAGTAATTTCAAATAATCTTTCTAAACAGTTTCTGCAAATAATATATTAGTGAGACCGAAGATAATCCTGTTTGGAATATTTTTGAGAAAAAACGTTTGTTGTTAAAAGCAAAACGTTTTGAAAAAAGTTTTCTCCTCAGATCTTAAAGCTAAAAATATACTATGGATTACTGCGAACACTGCGGACGTTCGTGTGTAAAAAAAATCATTTGAGTCAGTTTTCAGTAATATTGTTAATATTTATGTTCTAAATATAATATTAAGGTAATTAAAAGTATGCACAGATTCAGAAATCTCGGTTAATGCTAAATTTCGGTTGCCTAGCCGGTGATCGCAGAAAAGCACACCACGGACAATCACTATGTTAAGAATAATCACAAAGATAAAATAAAATGTAAAGCGAAAAAATAAACAATAATTAGCATACATACATTAAAATTAAAGTACTGAAGTTTTTAGTTTTCCTCGCAGTCAGTATCACTTATCATTTCCTTCAGCAGCGGCCCAAATCAGAAGATAGTGGGGGCCTACCTGCGGCCGAAAGGTAATTTGTTCAATACTGGTAATTTGACTACTAGTATTGCAAAGATCCCGTAATGTATGAAATCCCGGCAAATGCATTGGCTGCATGGAGGTTTCTGTAATTGTTCCCCATATGTAACATAAATACTAGCCATTTCCTTTAGAAAGTCCTCAACGAAATAGTCTTTCCACTCGGCAGATTGTAATAATCTAATCCAATCAAAATATCTCGTGATTGATCAAGGGCAATGTTTTTCTACTTGGAAAATTATTTATCTAATAAGTTTATGTGCCCCTATATTCCTACTTTCTTATTTCTAAAGAATGTCTTTGTGGATAGTGCATTGGTGATGAAGAAAATGAATTCATTATGCAATTCTCCTTTGTGCATCTAATAAAAAGGCATGCAGATACTTTGTGCTATTTGGAATGTGCTCTGATCGTGAAACTTATCTCATGTATCCTTTTTTTTTCCTTTTACTTCCCGATGAAGCAGAGATTTTAGTTATTTTACTATGACTGAATACTTTTGTTTATTTTTTTTACTTTCGTGAAAACTCTGAAAGCAAGGTAGTAACTTCTAACCATAAAATGAAAGAACTGCGTACACTGATTGTAGAAATGAGGCTCAAATTTACCAACTCAAGACTTTTCCTCCATCATCACATTAGTATTCACGTTTCTCTAGCAGTTCCAAAATGAAGAAATCCGTACTATTTCTTCAAACACTGCGTATTTACCTTTGTAGATTTAATTTATGCGAAAATCCGCAATTCGGAAAAATGATTCCTAAAACACTTTCTGATCCCGCATTAATTCCAAACTTAAAGCAAATATAAAACTGAACACTACATATAGCAATTAATAGAATTTTAAATTCCTGTATCATCCTTTTTTAATCCTTTTTGTATTGTATCTTTTCATAAAAATATAATGATACGTCTTGTTAAAGAAGGTTAATTAAATAATAGCTTTTAATGGTTATCCATTAGCTGCTAAACGTAGCATTAATTGTTTACTAATTTCCAGGTTTTGAATGCTTAAGTTTTATACTTGCATTTTCATAAAAAATTTATTAGTTACTTCAAATATGAAATATAGAGGTAAAAGTATTTCTTCGTGCTCTCACAAGTCATTACGCAAATATTCACTAAACAATTTTCGCAGTCAGAAAACGCATGTCTGCGATGTTATCACCATGCGTTGATTTGTGGGTGTTTTGTTCTTTACTGCGATATTTTGTACGACGATGTTTTCACCGAAGGAGGTTGCACCTACTTCTTGTTTATTCTTCCAATTGCTGTGTGTCTCCCTTTCAGGATATTTGTCACCGACTCGAAAAGCTTTCACCAGATGCTTTCTACATTAGTCGACTCTGTTTCACTACACCTTTTAAATTCTTATCTCATATTAACTTTTTATTAATAATTTAATGTTAATATCTTGCTTAACTTTATTACCTTTTGATTATAATTTAACGACTTACCTTCAAGTTATTTGTGACAAAATTTATTATGCAAGTTGTTACTCAAATCTCTTCATATAGCTCAATTTTTCTTAAATTAGAAATTTTCTTTGAGTTTTAATGGTCACATAATTAGTAATTTTTTAATTATGTTCGATAGGGGTAGGGCCTTTGGCCCAGGTACCCAGGTGTATACACCATTCCCCAGTGAAACAGACGTTTTCGTGGTTTTCCGCATGGATACCAGCCAGTTTCCCTTAAAAAAAACCTCCACTGGGCATCCCTCCCTTTCCGTGTAGTGCCTAAGGGCGGAGCACGTAATAAGCAAAATAAAAAATGTATTTTAAATGATCTGTTTCACAATTAAAAAAAATCAAGATATCAAGAAGAGCTTTTAAATTCCTTAGCATAATAAGCAATTACAGATTAATAAACCTCGAAAGATAAGTAAAGCCGAACAGAACACAGTGCGAATCATCTGTTTGTGATGCTGTGTGCCAGATAAATTAAAGCTATTACGTTTCACGCAGTAGCCATGCTATCCAATTCACGTTGATAATACTAAATGTATCGTAGCGTAGCTTAACGTAACGTTACTATGAATCGTTCGATATTTGTACTGTTCTGATTTTTAATTAAAAGTAATTTTTTTCTACTTTCTTCACAAAAGTTTTCCATTGTTTATAGAATATCATATTTATCTTAGCTTTTTCTAAACCATGATTTTTTTTTTCAGGCGACTCAGATCGCAGTCCCCCGGATGACGGAATCCGGAAACGAAAAAAATTCCTCCGGCCAAAAGCGAAGAGCCAGACTGACCTCTCTCACCGGACTTGCTCCGAAGAAGGGGACGAGGATCCACCCTCTTTACCACCTTCACCTCAACCCCCTTCCACGGACCCTCCCTCGCCCTATAAGAAGATCCTCGGTTTTAAGTCTGGCAAAAAAATCCAAACCGTCATTTCTACCTTGAGAAAGTTCGCACCGCACAAACTTCGCCATCATAAGTCCAAGGGCTATGCTTCCTCACAAGGGTAAGTGCGCTTCTTTTTAGATTTGAATTTTGTCCAGACAAATACAAGTTACTTTGAATTTATTAAAGTTTCGTGCAGAAGGTAAATAAGTAATCAGATTCAGAATTTAAATGTCAAAAATCTACATTAATTCAAGATTGTCTATTGGTAGATCTTAGAAGCGAATCATGAATAATGAAAGTTCATATGTTCCAATCATTCGCGGAAAATGTTTATAGGAAAATTCTGTTTGAAATGTAAAGTAAGTACCTAGTTGCTTTCGACGTAATATCCATCAAAGCACACACTTACTTCTGTGCTTCTGACATTTTAGGAAACACAGGTCGAACATCTCTTTTAGGTGGAGCATGAGAAATGTAGCAAATAAAATGGTTAAGTGGTGATAGGGATCTGCTTTTGATCAAGAGAACACCAAGCCTCTTTGCTCAAAATGCGACATCTGGCTACATCAGGGGTTGAAAAAATGGTTCCACGAGCTACACTGTACCGGATGAAGCCATTTCATAAATTCTACTAAACGTGCTGCACTACACACTTACTGCCGAATTCAAATATTGCAGGTTTTCCGCACGTAATATGACTTTTTCGCAGTGTTTTCGAACAAAGTGCTGACAGAAATATAGCGCATAACTGAATAATAAATCTATAAACAGTGTTATGTTATTGGTCTATGCGTGCTGTGTTATATTGCGAGTTTGTCGACGTTGCCCAATTTGCCCTTTTTTTCAGTTTATTGTTTATAAAATACAATTGTATGGTGTAAGTAAACATTGCTATTTCTCATATCTAAAAGGATTAAATTCGTGAAATTTTCGTTACCTTCTTTTCGTTTCATTGAAAAGTGAATTTTTATTATAAAGATTTCCACAAAGGCATTCCTTCCAGTGGTTCCCCATAATAAATAACTTCATATTATATTTGGTTGGTTATATTTTGACCTTTCTCTTTTGAATAATGTGGCAGGATCAGATTTTATGGAACTGGAACTACATCAGACAGTGAGAATGAACATCAAAAGCAGAGAAATGGAATCAGTGATATAACAACTAATACCTTCTGATAGCGTTCTGTAATTAGTACAACTACATTTTAAATTAAGTCATGAATTCTTTCAGATGTTTTTATTTCTTTTCAAAGCCCGCTTGCGCCCGAATATGAAAATCTCTGACCACTAGTGGTCCAATACTCTTTCAGATAACGGCAAACGGGCTGATTACATAAGTTTTATGGTCCCTACCTTCATTTAACGTGAACATTGACCACTTTTCTATAAAAATAACATCAACGAAAGCATCCTTCCCCTTAAGCAGATTTCCCTAGTGTACATGCTACTTCCCTTTAAGTAGAATGCCCTAGTCCCCATATTACACATGGGAAAAACCAGTTATAGATTCAGCCCGTCCGCTTGGTTTCGAACACTGGACAAACTACAAGTATTCAGTGCCGCTCAGCACTTGGTGATATTTAACTGCTCAGCCACTGGTGAAGCCAGTTAGAAGTTTAACTCGGATTTCAATCTTGTCGAGCCACCTGGCTGCGTGGCCGTTACATGACTTTCCCTAACATAACGTGTGAATACAAGAGAAAAATCCATAAGAAAATACTCCACGAACAAAAGCTTTCCGTTGGAAAAATATTCTTGGACAGCGTTTGTCAAACTTCTTTCAAATGGGGAGCACTTTTATAAATAGAATGATCTGCGGCTTGGCATATATTATTTCCAGTATACTTGCATTTTTAAAATTAAGTTTATATTTGTTTAAAGTAATATAAAAAAAAGTATATTATTTAAGTTTGGATAATCTTTGTCGTATTATCTGAAAATTAAATGTTGGTATTCACACATTAATGAGACGATTGGGGGTGCTAATTCTTGCATAGCTGTCATATATTTGAACGCAGGTAAAAAGCACCGCAGTCGTAGGGCTCTTTGTTGTTGTTGCAAAGAGCATATGTAGATAGGGTAACCGGTGACAAATTTGGTAAAATGTCGGTTTTGAGGGAAAAAGTGATAAACTATTGTCATGTATAATTTCCAAATTGAGATTTTCTACTAAAATGCGGTATACACAGTTAATATTAATTTTTTGGTCCTTTTTTGATAGTTTAAGAGGACCACAAAGCCGGCTTCGAAGACCATTTCTGGTCCGCTGATCACAGACTTAGAACCACTGCTCTAGTTAGCTTTTGTCACTATCTGTAAGTCCAAAAAACATCTTTTGATAGCATCAGTGCTTAAATTGCGCCGGTACTTCTCAATTTTTAAGATAAATTACAATTCTAGCCGGAGCGCACCGGAGCCCTAAATATGATGAGCTCCGGTACTTCTTTTTATAAAAGTGAACCACAATTTAAAGGGAAAAAAATTTAGAATTCCTAACGTTTTAGTTTAACAATAAGCAGACCTTGCAATACTCTTATTTCCCTAGAAATACGAACTCATAAGAACATGAGACGTTCAAGTCCCCTCACTCACATGCGGAAACCTTTCCCTTTCAGAAAGGCAGTAATTTTGGGGGAGTTTGTTTAGGAACGTATAAATTTCTCGCCATGCCATCGTATCTAGTGTATTATTCTCGATGCTTACAGTTAGTTATCCTCGCAGGAAGGAAAATTTGTGTTCTTAAATGTGCGTTAAGTGACAGGGAGTACAATAAGAGTGAAATACTGAGATAAACTGCTCAAGCACGTCCTATACATCGTCTTCCCACAGTATCCATTACTGGGGAAGGGGGGATAGCGTGATCAGCAACTTTACATTCATCCTTAGGAGTTAGATTCAGGACTTATTTTACCTTGACATACATCTGCTTGATGGCTATAATTATATCAGCAGAGAGCTGCGGTCAAAGAGAAAAACGTTCTCTCTCACCAAGATTCCCCTCATTTTTTGTTTCCACCCACTCATACCCCCATTCTGTTTCGCCCTGGAACTTTCATCAGCTATACTTTAAGTATATTTAATTTTTGTGATGATAAAAGATATCCCTTCTTACGATCAGAGCTTAAATTGGGCCGGAGCCCACCAGATCTCGGCACCGGTGCTTCTTAGTTTTTGTAATAAATTATAATTCTAGTCGGAACGCACCGGAGCACTGAATAAGAAGGCTGCGGCACTTCATTTATGTAACTGAAAAACAATTTCAGTAGAAGTTTTATCTCAAGTTTTATTTAAACAATAAAATTATATTAAAAATCGCTTATTAAATTTCAATTTAGCTCTTTACATTTTATTTAATTTTAATTATTTAATTACTTCAATCTTTAATTATTCCAAGAAATAAAAATTAATTATCTAATAATTGTCAATTAAATCTTAATTATATAATAATTGTTCATTAAATAGCAATTTATAAACATTAATTAAATAGCTAGTAATTAATATGATGATAATTAACTATTTAATTTTAACATTATTAATGAGTTTAATAGTCATTTTATTTAATTATTTACTCTTGTTCCTCTTTGCTGACAGTCTTCCACAGGGCTCCGGCACTTCTAATCTTTGAAATTAAGCCCTGGATAGCATACAGACTTGGATCACAGAACAGATGCAGGTTACTAATAGCCTTATAAGTTAAAAGCGATTTTGGTAATTTTTCTGCTTCGTCTGAATGTTCACAAAGTTTTAACGGAGTTGCACAAATATATTACTGACAATATATTGAAGTGGCAATCTGAATTTCTGCTGAAAATTTTTATGTAAGTAAGCTTAAATATATTTAGCTGCGGTGCTATTATATCCGTAAAAAAAAAAAAATCGCAAATTTTAATATGAAGTGAATATTAATGGGTAGTACTTTGAAATGCTAAAATTAAGATTCATAAATTCATAAAATAAGATAAATTAAAATTCATTACTTCATAGGCGTATTCCTTAATATTGGCTAAAACCATGTTGCATGGTCCGTAGTATAAATACGCATCTTAAATCGGTCCTCGTTACAAAATGTTGTAGCCACTAATCTAAATTACGCTAGTAATCTAAGTTACAGTGCTATCTACTGTGGAAAACTTATGTTCTTTTGTGCATCATATAGCCATTTTTTAGGCAACAAGTAATACATTGCTCAAAGCGATTATTTCTGGCAAAACTGGCAAAGAATGAAGTTATTACACTTAGAATTTACTGTTAATGTCGACGGAAGGTTTTCTGCAGACAAGGGGCTAAAGATTATAGCTTCTTTTTTTTTTTTTTTTTTTTTTTTTTTTTTTTTTTCCTATTAGAATGCGTATACACGTTCAGTTTCCCATTATCTTTTAAATAATATGACTCTATCTCTCTGTTTTCCTGTCTGAACGTTTCATCCGGTGACGCCCTTTGGTGTGCCAAACTATTCCCGAGAGTCTTTTTGTTTGAGAGTTTTGCTCGAATTTCGACCTTCTTTCTAATGCAGTCCCTGTAAGTGAAAACGCCGTTTTATTATTCATGTCCACGGCCACGAGTCATAAAAACGACGAATGCTATTCGCGCGCTTCGGCCATTTTGTACCCATAAATCGGTTTCTAAATGTAAGCAAAGCTGAACGCATCTTAAAGAACGTTTTTATCGTTCCTTGGCCGTGCTGTTCTCTCACGTTTTCCATAATTATGGCTCACGTAAGTGTTTCCGCCTTGCTTATGTTGAGCAATTACATCTCGTCCCTTCGGACAGAGAACTGGAATGAGAACTCTGCGAGGCAAAATGGTCATTCTTTTTAACCTACAATCTTTCTCCATCCCATACTAAACACTCTCCAGTAATGTTTAATTGAACGTGCAAGGCAAGATAATTTGCAGATGAATGGTTAAGTAAAGAATACTTAAGTGTTCCCTTTGTACATCTATGACACTATTTCTATATGTTATAGAACAGAGACTAGTTTTTTGTGGATAGCTTAATTATTCTTACCGAAAATGAAAGTAGTCTAATATGATTCCAGCCGCGAGTAACGAAAGTTTCAAAAGTATTTAATCCTTCTACGTTACTTTAGTTGAATATAGGAAATATAGTTCTAATA